TCCAGCTATTGTTTTCCACTGGGCTCACTGGCATCTCGCCCACACATATGCAGTTTAGGGGTCATCCAAGGATTGAGAGAAATTATATAAAGAAGTAGAACTCCATTCTGTGTGGTTCCTTGCTTTCTGGATTTTCCTCTCTTAAAGCCCATGTACCCTGGCAGCCCTGAACTCCACTTTCTGACACTTCAAGCAAATATGACTGTGGCTGGCTTTCTCCTTGAATTCTAGTTCCTCTTGTGAATTGAAAGTGCCCTCAGGGGAGAACCTGTATAAATGTAGATCTCAACCAGTCTATTTCCTTCTTTGAAGGAACAAATTCCCAACATTATCTGCCTTCTTTTAGTCAACCTCTAATGCCTTCAAATAGTTTTTTAAAGGAATATTTTGTTTAGAGTTTATAACAGTTATCGAAGGAGAGTTAATCTAATGTAAGCTCTTCTATTATTGACATAACTGGAACTCTCTCACAGAAGTTTTAATTTATGGGTTTGTGTGTAAATGTTAAGAATAAATTATACCTCTCATCTTTATGAATAGTCATAGGGTCATTAAATATTATATCTTGAGGGGATCATCAGGTATTATCCAGACAACTCTGTCCTATCAGGCAATGACTATCTAAAACTTGTCATGATTAATCTCCTGTTTTTATTTATTCATGTATTAGTTTCAGGTGTACAACATAATGATTTGACATACAGCTGACCCTTGAACAATGCAGTCAGTGCCCCAACCCCCATACAGTTGAAAATCCATGTACAACTTTTGACTCCCCCAAACTTAACTACTAATAGTCTATTGTGACTGGAAGCCTTACTGATAACATAAATAAGTCAATTAACACATATTTTGTATGTTATATGTATTATATACTGTATTCGTACAATAAAGCTAGAAAAAAGAAAAGGTTATTAGGAAAATCATAAGGAAGAAAAAGTACATTTACAGTACTGTACCGTATTTTATGAAAAAAAAAAAAACCCCACATATAAGCAGATCCGTGCATTATAAATCTGTGCTGTTTAGGGGCCAACTGTACGTATATATTGTGAAATGATCACCATAATGTCTAGTTAACATCCACGCCCACACATAGTTAGAATTTTTTTCTTGTTTTGAGACATTTTAAGATCTATTCTCTTAGCAACTTTCAAATATACAATAGAGTATCAACTATAGTCGCCTATACTATAATCAATTATAGTCAACTATATAGTCAATTGTTCATTACCTCCCCAGGACTTATTTATTTTACAACTGGAAGTTTGTACCTTTTGACCACCTTCCCCCATTTTGCCCATTCCTCACCCACACCCCGTACCCCTGCATCTGGAAACCACCAATTTTTTTTTTTTTTAAGATTCCACATATATGTGAGATCATATGGCATTTGTCTTTCTCTGTCTGACTTATTTCACTTAGCATAATGCCCTCAAGGTCCATCCCTGTTGTTAAAAATGGAGGATTTCCCTCTTTTTTTATGGTCAAATAATATTCCTGTGTGTGTGTGTGTGTGTGTTTGTGTCTGCACATGTGCATGCATCACATTTTCTTTATCAATTCACCCATTAGTGATCACTGAGTTTATTTCCATGTCTTGGCCATTTTAAATAATGCTAATGTCTTGCTTTCAAAAGAGGCCAGGGAGGAAAGTTGTTTCTTCAGGAAATGAGTTCCCTGTCTGGAGACTCCCTATTATATACTATAATTTAAACCCATATAATGGCTTTAAATGACTCACAGGGTCATTGAATTATACAGAAAGATGGATGTATGGGCATTACTCAAGCTGAGTTTCCCACTAAACCATGAATGTGAAAGAGGTATCTTTCCTCATGTTTTTTGTGTACATTATCTACACTTTTCTTTGCTCTGCTTCTTCACCCCTTCAGCTCCCAATGGAGCTCATCACTTTTGGTCTGTTTTACTTAGGTTCTTTCACCTTGTTTCATCTTCTGGCATCTATTCTATACACTCTCTATTCTCCCAACTTGGCTTCTGAATCATTCTGGTTGCTCTGAACCTTAATATCATGAGTTGAATCTTTTCACTTCAAAATTCATATGTTGAAGTTCTGGCCTCCAGTACCTCAGAATGTGCACAGGGTCGTTTATAGGAGTAATAAGGCAAAAACGAAGCCATTAGGGTAGGCCCTAATCCAATATAACTGGCATTTTTATAAAAAGGGGAAATTTGGACACAGACACACCCAGAGGGAAGATTATGTGAAGAAACACAGGGAGAATATGGCCATCTGTAAAACAGAGAAGAAGGTGTGGAACAACAGATCCTTCCTTCACAGAAGAAACCAACCCTACTGACTGATCTTAGACTTCTAGCCTGCAGAACTGTGAGACAGTAAGTTTCTGTTGTTTAAAGAACCCAGTCTGTGGTATTTTGTTATGGCAGCCCTAGCAAACTATTATACTTACCACTTAACAAATAATATGATCAGTTTTTCTACTTGATTCTGACTCAAGTCTTTGCTTTGACTCCTAAGTTCTACTCACCCCTCAGTTTGGAAAATGGGTAGAGAAGCAAAATATTTGATTTGTGTCCTAATTTTTTCACTTAAGTTGAATGACTTTTCTGATCCTTAGATTCCTTGTATAGAAAATAAGGATATTGTCCCTACCCTACTTGTCTACCTAAATAAAGCTTGAACAGATACTGTGAAGAGCATATAAAATGCTACACAAATCTCAGGCATCCTGAGTCCTTGCTCTTTGTTCATAATATGCTCTTTCTCTTGCCTAATTACAATAGAACCACCGTTAGAGGGCTCAATTTCAGAATTCTCCACTTTTTAAAAAAGATTTATCTATTTGAGAGAGAGAGAGAGAGAGAGTATGCTCTTTCTCTTGCCTAATTACAATAGAACCACCGTTAGAGGGCTCAACTTCAGAATTCTCCACTTTTTAAAAAAGATTTATCTATTTATTTGAGAGAGAGAGAGAGAGCAGGGGGGAGAGGGGCAGAGGGAGAGGGAGAGAGAGTTCCAAGCTGACTCTGTGCTGAGCATGGAGCACGACCCCAAGATCATGACCCAAGCCAAAACCAAGATGCGGATGCTTAACTGACTGTGCCACCCAGGTGCCCCCAGAATTCTCCACTTTTAAAAGAGAAATCCTTTCAATCTAAGACTTTATCTCACCATTTCTAGTTCAAGAGGCAGGATGTGAGGCAGATGATGAATGTGGGATGATGCTTCAAGCTTTTAACATTCTGACATCTCCAGAGGGTTTAAAAGTAATTCCTCAAACAGTATATTTATTTTTATAAGAGACTAACATATGGAAACCAATTCTTTTAGAGAAAAGGCTTTTTAGAAATGCTTAAGAGAAGAAGAACTAATGGCACATTAAACTGCATTAACAAAATTGGGATGTGTATTGAATGCAATTTTAAAATTTGTAAAATTAAATGTGGAATGTTAGCAGTTTTTCAACATATTTTATATGTTCTGTCTGTTTTTAAAATGATTTTGTTAATGAGAATTTGAAAAATTGTTGTTTCTACAATAATTAACACCTTTATAAAATTATTTATAAAAATATAATTTATTCCCAAAGAGCTTATATTCTAGTTGCATTGATTCTTATCCAGTTGCAAATGTTACTCAAAAGAACCAAATTTTTAAATGATTCTACCCTTTTCACTTCTCTAGAATGCCTCCAGATGGCATTAAAACCCTTTTCCCATTATATTTTGCAGCACAAAAATTTAAAAATCAGTGCTATTTTAACCACTTAAGACTAGTCACATTCATTATATCACCAGAAATCATGACAGTAGGACTATTTAGAACTCTTAGGGCAATATCTTAAGAAAGACAAACATATAATTATATCCTTTATGAAATACACAGCCCTCCTATGGAAGCCAAAGGATCTTTCTAGACTGAGAAACAGACCTTGGACAAAGTAAGACATTCAATAATATCATATCACAAAGTGTGATTTCTAATGAATAGCATTTTAGATGCTGAGTAATATGAGCACTGGCCTACACATAGATAAATTCACAAAGCTGTCTTATAATAAGAAAATATATCTCACCCCTCAGAGTGATAAAAATAAAGATTCTTAAGGAACCAACCTGATACTGATTCCTGTGAAGTGAAAGTAATTTGTTATAACTTGTGAATTATTTAATTTAAACTTTGGTGGAAAAATTTGGTAACAAATTAATCATTAAAAACCCATTTGGGGGGCACCTGGGTGGCTCAGTCGTTAAGCAGCTGCCTTCGGCTCAGGTCATGATCCCAGGGTCCTGGGATGGAGCCCTGCATCGGGCTCCCTGCTCGGCGGAGAGCCTGCTTCTCCCTCTCCCTCTGTCTGCTGCTCTGCCTACTTGTGCTCTCTCTCTCTGTGTTAAACAAATAAATAAAAATCTTTAAAAAAAAAAAAACCCATTTGGATTCTTTGAGTACTGAGAAGAAAAAGACAAAATATGGAGTGAGGAACACATGCTTCCTAAGTGCTTTTTCTTATGTTTTTAAAACTGCATTTGTTAATTCAAAAAAGTAACAAATTCTTGGGATTCCAGAGATATTGATAATCATATTTTTCACATAATTCCGAGGTGAGGTTGTAGATGGCAGACTTTTAAAAATGACATTGGCATCGCACAGGTATGCAGGACAGAATATCTCTCAGTATGTGTGAAAAGTCCTATAATTATTTATGACAGTGTCGAAAGCCTCCAACAAAATTCTAAAGGGTTTGCCTCCTTTCTCCCTGACAATACACACCCTGAAATATTATTACATTTCTATTTTATAAGAAGGTGTATTTGCATTTTTAAGATTACTCTTACTGTGATAAAGCATAAGAAAGACCTCAAATTGCATCTGCACCTAAAAGCATTTAAAAAGACATCATCATGAGAAGGAGAACCACAGGTTTCCTTCCATTATTATGATTACTCTTACAAGATACTTGCACTGTTTCATATTACAGGCATATTATCTGGAAAGAAACAGGAAAGCAACTTACGAGGTATTCGATGTGCCATTGTCTGGACTCTCTGGCTCAGCATCACCTTTCTCTTAAAAAGGAAGCAGAAAAAAAAAACAACAACATGTGAGTGTTATGGTCTTTAAGATTTAAGAGAGATTAAATATATTGCCATGCTCCTATTAAAAATCTTTCAAAATGTGCAGCAGGAGGCTTTTAAAACATCTTTTTAATGTCTGAGAACCGGATTTGCAAGTAATTTCTTCTCTGTATTACAACTGCCCAGGCACGGATCTGTGAGTAGGTACTAAGGAGCTGTTTGCAAACAACCAGAGGTTCAGAGTGGAAACCTTGCCAAAAGATGAGTATCTTGCAGATGGAACCTGTTTCCTTCCATTTCGTTTTACAGAAAATTTAAGGAAATAAACTCCATTAGCATTCTACAGGCAAGGCATTTTGAACTTTGATCCCTTCTGCTAACACAAGCCAAACCGGGACAGGCTGCGTAAGAACTTGGAGGAGAGAATTTTACAGAACACTAAGGTTGCACCGCAGCTTACAAGATCCCCCAAATTTCTACCCTACTGAGAGCCCTGGCAGCACCTTTTGGGAACCCTGCTTTAATGCAGAAAAAGATGTAAACCAGAAATCCTTCTAGACCATCTGAAAGTCTAGCTACAGAAATGTCTCTGCGGTCTGCGGTCACTGAAGACTTAATGGGTTTTAATTAAGGGAGCCTGGAACTAGTTCCCTTTTTATAGTTTTTAAAGGGCAAATTCTTCTAACAATACACATAATGTAATTCTTAGAACCTTGACCACTGAGGGTTTGAGCCATGCATCCTCATTTTGTAAGGTGCTTCTTTTTATTTCCTTGAGGCTAGGAGATGGAAGGAGAAGGGTCAAGACAGCAAGTATGAGTCCGCTATGGTTATGATGGTTGTGTGGTGCTAAGAGTTAAGTAAACCCTAGAGAAGGTTGTAGGTTGTAAGAAATGGGCCTGATGGTAGCAACTTGCTTTGCTTTGTTCTTTCAAGTCAGGCCTGAACATCTCGTAGAACCTCAGGCCTATGGCACTGTACGAGCCCCCTCTGACATTAGCTTTGTGGTCCCCTAGTCTCAGGAATGATCCCCTAAATTATGTGATGAACACATCCCAAAGATATCATCCAAACTGAACTCCAGAGGAAACTTTACAATTTCTCCTCTTTTTCTTTTAGGAAATTAAGCAGTTGTGAGGAAAAGAAGGCACAGCTACTTATGTAGTTCACACATCTATCTCAGATACAACTCAGTGTTAATATGTCTACACAGTGCCAGAAAAACCACGAGGGATAGTCACGTTGTTAAAAAGCCACAAAATTGATTTAAGAGCCTTGATCACAAACACTGATGAGATGAAGCCCCAGTACAGATGAAACCATACTGAAATAAAATCACAAACTTGCTTTAAAGCTCATACTTTTATGCTCTATTTTTGTCTTCCAGGCCAGTCCATGGTACACTTATGTAGGAGACATGTAAGGCCTCATCAGCTGGCTTTAGTGCTGGAAAATAACCTAATTTAGTACTTTCCAGAATCATTTTTGCGCTAAGTAACCACAATTGCTGCCAGAATCCCCAAATAAGAGCTGTAACACCTGCATTATGTAAGACAAACCTAAATGGAGGTTTAATTTCTCAACCATATTGGTATTTTTTTTTCCTTGAATTTGGAACAATTGGTTACTTTCCCAAGTCCATAGCCACCGGTAATAACCCCACATACAATCATAATCAAGAATGTAAAACAGCAAGTTCCGTAGCAGTAGGCAATGGTAAACAGTTCTAAACAACTTCTGTCAAAGACACAGGAAATCAATAATATAAACAGAGACAATTATTTGGATGTCTGAATAAGTATGTTTTACCTTGACCAACAATGCTGCCAAGTAACCTGTAGGATGAGGGCACAGGCCTTACTGCACATGGGCTCTGGGGGCTGTAGTAACTGTGGGCTGGATCAGCGCAGGGAAAAAGCTACAGCTGATTACCTCTGCTCTTAGCAGCACTTATGTTGTGGCAACAGGGAAAACAGAATAGGAAGGGCACAATGGGGCCAAACAGGGCATTTACAGATGGCCTGAGAGTGAGTCTTCTCAGCAACTTCAGTGCTGATAATGAACTAACCTTTCTGGGGAAAAGTAAGCTCAGAACAGAGACAGGGATTAAAGCTGTGCCTGTCATTCAGAAAGAATAAAACGCAAAATTCTCCCCAACATCTTGAAATTTTAGGTGATGCAATTTCTGAAGTCCACTTGAAATGTTCAAGTGCATCAGCCATTAAGAACCATAGTCTCTTCATCAGGACCCAAGGGGAAATAATAAATGTATACTAGAAAATTCCCAACAAAAAAATTCTTAGTTGGGTGCTCAGGAGATGTTTCCCTGCAGCCAACAAAGAAGACTGTGTTGGGTGGCCCTGGTTTTTTCAGCTGTTTTCATGATAGATACCACACTGGTCTCTTTGGAGGAAACCTGCATTGATCATTAAGAAACTGGACATAGAAGAATGGCTCAGGAGCAGAGTGGTCATTTTGCATGTGGAAATATAATTACAGAGAGGAAGAGGGCAAAAAAATGAGCCACAGGATATATATATATCTCCACACACACGTAAATGCATAGGTACATATATATGTATACTACATGCGTACTTTGAATTTGACGCTCCATATTTGTCTCCTTGAGCCTTCCACCGTACCTAACACATACTCCATGCTCAGTATATGTCTTCTGTCTCATGACCTGTCAGGAATAGAGAATCCCCGCTACAGTGGGAGAAGAGGAGAAAGGGGCACTCACCACTGAGATGGAAATACCATTTGAGCTATGAAACAGCTTGATGGCCCTGACAGGCAACTTAAAAAAATTACAGTAGCTACATTTTTAATCCAATCAATGCACTGAGGACTTACGCATTGGGCACTCTAGCAAGCATAAAGATAAATAATACCTAATTCATGCCCTTTAAACACATAACGTTGACTGCGCTGCTGGAGTAGCACGCTCCATCAACAGCGCTATGAGGTGGTCTAAAGACCGTTGAAAAGGGACAAAATACACCTGCGTTAGGCTCTATTCTGCTGCAGAGGAAAGTTTTGCTATACTAGGACTTTTCTTTTTTTTTTTTTAATATTTATTTATTTATTTATACCTGCGTTAGGCTCTATTCTGCTGCAGAGGAAAGTTTTGCTATACTAGGACTTTTCTTTTTTTTTTTTTATTATTTATTTATTTATTTATTTATTTTTATTTATATTATGTTCCGTTAGCCAGCATATAGTACATCACTAGTTTTTGATGTAGTGTTCAACGATTCACTTTCTTTGTAACAAAAGTAACCCACGTTCACGGTAATGACTTGGCTCACTTTTGTTTTTAGTTCTGTCAGCCCTTCAACCACTATGCTAAGCGATATATTTGTTTCTAGATATATCAACTTTGGACAGTGTGTATTGATTTCTGATATAAAAGGCGAGAGAGAAGGTACTTAAGATACTACCACCTATGCTTACAATTCTTACTAGTTCTATTATTACTTTTTTTTTTTTAAAGATTTTATTTATTTATTTGAGAGAGAGAGAGAGAGCACATGAGAGGGGGGAGAGTGAGAGGGAGAAGCAGAC